TTACCAAACTCATCAAAACAGTCAAGCATTCGCAAATTGTTCGTTTCTACTACACGTGGAAGAAAACTGACAGAGGGAAACAAATATGGGGTAATTTTTCTGGCCGGAAGGGCAAGAAGGAGGCGAAGAAGGCCGAAGCGACGGCCAATAAACTCCAAGATGACGTTGCTGACGATCAAGACGATTCGGCGTTTGACACCGAAAAGGCCGTCAAGCTGAAGAGGAGCTTCATATGCAAGTTTTGTTCTACCAAGAACTCCCGACAGTGGCGGCGGGCGCCTAACAGTGCGTCCGGTCTAGTAATAGAGGGAGGCGGTAAACATGCGAACAAGGATAAGGGAATACAATATGTCGGAGCATTATGTAGGAGATGTGCAGAGCTATGGCGGCGATATGCTATTCAGTGGGAAGATATGGAGGACCTTGCCAAGAAGGTTGCTGCAGCTGGTGGCCGCTCCTGGAAGCGGAGGGTAGATGAGGAATTGCTCAAGGAGATCATGGCGGCAAACGAAATGATGAGTCTGACGGTCTACAACAAAACGAATGGGACGCCATCAACAGCACAGCCTGCTGCGACAGCGACACCTGCCCCGCAACCTAGCGGTAGCGAACCACCACCACGCAAGAAACTCAAGACAATTGCGGACAAAGAGGCAGAGGTTAATGGCTCAGATCCCGGCGTTGTCTCAACTCATATCCATTCGAAGAAGAAAGAAAAGGCGGCGGCGGAGAAGCCCGCACCACCACCCCCAGCCCCCGAACTACCAAAACCTCGCACCTTGCCTTGCGCTATATGCCACCAGATGGCCCCGACGGGCGAGCAAGCTCATCTCTCTTGCAAGGAGTGTCGGCTCACCGTTCATCGCAAGTGCTATGGTGTTATCGACAATCGACTTCCAGGCAAGTGGACCTGCGATATGTGCCTAAATGATAAGAATCCTCAGGTTTCTATAGTAAGTGTGCCCTCATTCATTTCCTTGGGTTTGTGGTTAACGGTTACGATTAGGATTATAAGTGTGTTCTGTGCCCGGTAGAATTCACAGAACACGACTTCATTGAACCGCCGAAGAACACGCACAAGAAAAAGACCGAGAAGGAGAAGGAGAAGGAGCGCCTTGATCGTGATCTCGCGCAGAAGGCCGTAGAGTATTATCGCAAAAAGCAGGAGGAGATGAATCGCCCCGTGAACCCTAGGGAGCCTCTAAAGAGGACAGCAGACAACAATTGGGTCCATGTCACTTGTGCGGTGTGGATGCCCGAAGTCAAGTTCGGCAATGCCCTTGCCCTGGGCCCGTCAGAAGGTATACCTTTGATACCACGTAGTAGATTTGACGAAGTTTGCAAGGTGTGCAAGCAAAAAGGTGGCGCGTGTGTAGCCTGCCATCAATGCCGCGCTCCTGGTAAGTACAATATTCCCTAGATGACCAATTGTCTGGTGCTGACAGCATATTAGTCCACGTGGAATGTGCCCACCAAAATGGGTACCTGCTTGGCTTCGAGATTACGCCCGTGAAAGGCTCCAGACGAGATCAGCACAATCTTGTCACTATCGGAGGAGAAACGGGGATAATGTCAGCAGCCGTCTGGTGTAAGGAGCACATTCCTCAAAAGAGTGTGGTTCATCGCATGCACGACCCTGTACCTCAGCCTGAGAGCCAAAGCAAGGATGCACAACTTGCGAACGCCCTGCAGCTCTACGTGCATAACTACAAGCAGGCAGACCTTACCCTAACGGGTAATGTCCGTAAGGCGAACCTGGCCAATCTCGCCGCCACCAAGACACCTACCGTTACGACGCAAACGAACCCAAATAGGAGGCAATCCGCCACAAACGTTTCCAGCTCGGCAGCAACAGGTCAGAGAGCGTCTCCGGTCGATGGTGTGGTCGATGCAGCATCCATCAGCCCTCAGTGCGGCGATAAAGTCTGCATAACTTGCGGCATTGACGTGAGCCCAAAGTGGTGGCCTATCGACAAGAGCCAAGAAAAGGTCTTAACAAACGGATATACCGGCTCTCTTAGCAGTGAGGCGCTGAGGTTTGTAGCTCAGCGGAGCGTCCAGTGTCATAAGTGTAAGAGGAGTAATCGAAGACTTACACCTCATAATCCGCCAAGAACGGACGGGCCAGCATCAAATGAACCACCACGGGTCGCTCTGCCTCCTTCAATTCCCACTACTGTAACAAATCATCCACCACACGTATCTCACACTATGAATAGGCTCGTGGACCTAGGGAATTCGTGGGGACCACGAGGTCCTGCAGCGCAAGGAACGACACCTACGGTTGCCCCGGCGATCGCTGCGCCACCGTTACATCCTCCACCTGCAGCTGTCCCTCCACCTTTGCCGCTGACCGCTTCCCACGCTGGAACGAGTCCGATGGTAGCTCCGGGTGGCCCACCAGTGCCTGCACACCATTATCCTCCTCCCAGTGCTCCTTATGGAGAGTGGCATCGTAGCCCGCCTCAACATCCACCTACCCTTCATCAAATAAATGGCGGCTCTAGTGGACCAAGCCCGATCCATCATAATCATCTCCGTGACCTCCGGCCGCCGCCGATAGCCCCAATGTCCCATCACCAGGGGCCACAGCTTCAGCATGGGCTTGGCCAACCCATGGTAAATGGAATCACTCCTTCTCCACCTCCGCCTCGACGCGGTCCTGGCTCGGTTCAGAATGGCACTTCTCCTTATATGCCGTCCTACCATTCGGCGCATAACTCGCTCCACGGCCTCACGAATGGCAGTCCTCCGCCCCGCACTTCGGAGCATTCGTTTTCCCAAGGCATGCTTGGATCACGATCACCATTTTTAAATCCGCATGGAAGCCCTCCGATTTCCCGGGATGGGATCTCGATGAGTCGTGAACCAAGTCTAAGCAACAATATACCTCCAAGGCCCAACGACAGTCGCCCTGCAAGCGGGGCCAGCGCCAACGCGTCGCTGCGCAACCTTCTGTCGTGATAGTCAGAAACGACTAGACCAAGGTTTCAGGGTTTGTGATTTATTCGCATAGGGGATTTCTTTCCTCTGGTTCGGCGTTAACTTAGGGTCGGTTGTATAAGTAGAGGCATATACCAAAGGCGCTACGGTTGATAGAGGGATTCCGGTCAGGATTTCGAGAAGAGGAACCATTGCCGTCCCTTTTGAAGGCCTGTACAACAGTTGCTTGTTTTTCGACGGTCGGACTATTAGTTGTCTAATACTTTTCCGAGTGTAAATTGGAGGAAGGCGGCCTAGGAATTAGAGGCGGGTGATCCAAAATATCAGGAAATGGTCTCGCAGACCAATATCATACAAACATAATTTAAAAACGTCTTAGTTCTAATTTTCCATTTTCCCAGTTTGCGATGTGAATGGTATTACCCATATCATTATACGTGTATGCTGCTACGTTAGGTATATTAACAATTGGATATTTGAGGACTGTGATAGCTAAAAGGCGGGCACTAAACTCTTATGTGGCTCTACTAGGTTAGATGCGCAGCGATAGTCGTGAGGCGGAGACTCCCGCTTATCTCCAATTACGTATATCAAGCTTCTAACTGATATTCTAACTGATATATCTAATAAAAACATCAAATCTCTATCTCTATTTCTATCTCTATTTCTATAAGTTAAGAATAGTCCTTCCTAGTCTATTATAGTACTATAATCCGCCACTTGGACAGAATACAGCCAAGTTAGAATGGACGACGCAAAGGGCCTTGCCTTGGCCCTCGAAGAGGCTAGGATCGGATACCGAGAAGGCGGCGTCCCGGTATGTAGGGCGTGATACGTCGGCTCGGCGGCGAATACTCTGCTTACTTTGGATATTGTTATGGGATGGTAGATCGGTGCGGCGCTGGTTGCTGCTGATGGCAGAGTCTTGGGCCGGGGGCATAATATGAGGGTTCAGAATGGCAATCCGATTCTTCACGTATGTACCTATGTTTTCTATATTGGTGCTTATTATTATTATTATTATTGATGGGTATTGGGTAGTTGTTTATATAGGTATTTGCTACTAGCTAACGGGGTATACACGTGTTATTATATATAGGGGGAGACATCCTGTCTCCAGAACGCAGGCCGTCTGCCGTCGTCGGCGTATAAGGGGAGCACGATGTACACGACGCTTTCACCGTGCGATATGTGTAAGTCTGTCTGATTTAACCTGCCTGACTTAAAATTATATATATATATATATTCACACAACTATACGAAACTTCCCGCTAAGAATGGGTTTGTTGGGACGGTAGGCACCGGCGCCTGCATCCTCTACGGCATCTCGCGTGTGGTCATCGGCGAGAACAGGACGTTCCTGGGCGGCGAGGCGTACCTCAAGAACCGCGGCGTCGAGGTCGTTGTGCTAGACTCGACTGAGTGCAGGGAGTTGATGGACAGGTTTATTAAGGAGAAGCCCGAGGTTTGGTAAAGTCCACCCATCCCCCATCCCCCACCCCCCCTTTCATTTGTGCACGTGTATATAGGTATAAAACTGGAATATGAATAACTACCGCAAAACTAATCTAACTAACTATGCGAAAAAGGAACGAGGATATCGGGGTCGAGGAAAGGGTTTATTCCCGGGAGGGCGTTACGGAGCGCCCGGAGACGTAGGGGCTGGACTGTCTGTATTAGATTGTCCGCTATACATACCGATAGCCCGGTCATTATACATGGCAGGGCTCTGTGCTAGTTCGGAAATTACACGGAGGAGATGGGTCTGATAGCTAAGGACCTCGGTTGTCAAATACATTAGTAGGTATCTTATATACACATACGAGATGGGATATAGCTTTAGGGGGAAAGTTGTGCCGGTCATGATTTAAGAAAAAGACTCACTACTTTAGGAATCCACATCTGATAAATTCTCCCGGCCTTGCCGTGGAGTAGCCAGCCGTTGACTTGGTAGCGTCATACCTCGCGTAAAGTATACGCTTTCTGGGTCATGGTCTTACGATGGTACGTATGTACTAATAGCCGCGATATAGTAGAGATACATACTATGTAAGGTTATGAGTTCCAGATTTATTAATCAGTTTATGTATAATTCTCATTAAAAACTCACTTGGAACATGAACTACTCTGGGGCCTGGGCCTAAGGAATTGCCGGCCTTGGAATCCCAGTGTCCTCACTCTGTATGTATATGATTTCCCCTGACGCCTTACATAGGCCCATGTCGTAAGTTCAACTGCGACTTGGACAATGATCTGTGTGGCCAGACACCGAATAGTTTGAAGTTTGAAGTTTGACGGTAAAACAGCCATCCTCAATCATGATCCTCCTCCGTTAGCCCGGGACATCCCTCCATCGTGTCGTCCGGATAGCCGCATTTACACCAGAAGCAGTAATGATACTGCTTCCTGAGGTACTCCACCAGTCTCTTTAACCTCTCCTCAACCTCCAGCGCATTAAACTCATCCAGCTCCGGATCTTCCTCCTCGAGATCCTCAACCTGGACATACGCCGTAGCCGTCTTTCCTAGCGCCGTCTTATCGTCGTCTTCTAGATCTTCCACGAATGTCGGGAGCCGCGTTGAGCTCTGCTCCAGGTCGTGCCGCATTCGCCGGTCCCGCTCCGCTTCCTCCCGGCTCCGGATTAGGCCTCGCCAGACTACTGGGATGGATTTTAGGGGTCGCGTAGATATTGTCCTCTTCTTTCGCGTTTTTGCCGCTGTCTCCTCTGTTGCTTCACCGTCTGCCTTCGTGCATCCTTGCTCTTCCTCATCCATGCGCTCGCACACCTTCATCGCAGCATAGACTTGCCGCTCTAGCCTCGCCTGCTCGCGCTCCCTACGCACGCGGTCTCGGAACTCCGTCTCGTCGACCTTCTGCCTCTTCTCACTATGGGCCGCCGCTTCGGTAAGCGCACGCTTGCGATCCGAGTCGAGGCCAATACCGCCTCGATCTTCCTTCATCTGGGGACGTATAGGCTCCAGACGCGCGTGTTCGGCGCTGTCGGCGCTGCCAAGTGCGACACCAGGCTTGAATCCCATTTTCGCCATCATGGCAAAGCCCTTGCTTTTCTTAGCCCGGGCACTATCTAGTAATGACTCGTTTAGCGCCTTCTCACGCTCCTCGCGCTCTGCTGCGGCCTGCTCGGCTTTTGACTTGACGCGCCCCTTGATCTCACCCTCGCGCTTGAGCCGTTGCCGCCGCTGGAGAGATGTTTCTGTGGCTTTGGGCTCTTCCTCGCCGAAGGTCATGTTCATGTAGTCATCATCTTCCTCCTCTACCCCTGGGGAATTATTGTTTGGTGACGCCATTTGAACAAGTTATTTTTATGTAAGTGCAGGCCAGCTATTCTTAGTAGAAGACTTCCAGTATGTAAGTTGTGAGGTACAAAGTACATGTACCGAACCATTCTAGAAATAACCAAATGCGTGTTTAGATAAAAATAGAGTTCCTGAATGCATGGAGATAGTTAAGAGTAGAATAAACTTAAAAGCGGAGCCGGTTTTCACTCGTCTATCATCACTTGGGTAAGTGGTAGTTCATTAAGGTAAGAAGGCGACGTCGACCAATGAATTGAGAGGTTGCTAGGCAACTTTAAAGATACCTATACATATAAGCCACCACCGCCATCACCGCCACACATCATATACTACCTAAGTACCTAGGTATCATTCGTATATACATGTACCTATTCATTCGGCCAGCAACCCAACTTCCCAAGTCTAGGTATCTTTTCCCTCCTATAGGACATACTCGTCATCCCCACGGAGGTCACTCCACGTACAATAACATTTCGATAAGTTGGAATTGGGCACAAAGCCAGTAGAGACGTCAGGATTTGGACTTATTGATACGATATACCCCATGCTGTACGCCCATAAAAACGCCAGCACCGGCGCGGACATACCCACAACCACCGTAAGTACGACGCTCCATCTGGGCCTGAACAATTCGGGCTCGTCAGCATGGATCCAAAACCAGCCAGGAACGCGCCGTGTCGCGAGGCGATGGTATATCGTGGCGGTGATCTTCATGAAGTCCTCGCAGATGTCGTGAGCGAACCTGACAACGACAAAGACTAAGGCCGCGAGATAGAACGCGTCATCCATCGAGGCTACCGGCTCGAAGCGAGAAATGACGTTTGCGAAGACGTGAGACAGGAACATGTAGAATGTCAGCATGACATATCTGGCCTCGGTGTCGACAAAAGGCACCGGTTGCCAGTCGACATCCGACTCGTGTCCGTCCGCATCCCAAAGGCTAACAAACGCGGAGAAGATCGTCAAGGGGAGCAGCCAAGGCGAGAACTCGGCATACTCGTAGCCCATAGCCCAGGCATAGTTATTGGCTATTTGGACGAGTAAGGAGAACAAGGCCGTTAAGCCAAGGACATGCCGGCAGGTTTGGTCCCGGTCTGAGAACATGAAGGGGTATGCGGCTAGGGGGAAGATCACCGCGAATGTGCCGATGAATTCTGGTGTGAAAATCTCGAATCCGAGTCTAGGCGTCGTTGCGAGCACGCAGGTGCATTTGGCTATTGACTCCATTTTGTGGTAGCATAGGGGAAGCTCATGTCGATATGGAATGATTCTAGCACCTAGAATTTATATCCAAAGCAAAAGCGCTAAGACCTTTGCTATGATTTGCCTTCATCTTTAAAGTTACTCTTCGATGAGAGGCTGGACTTAAAAACGGTAGGTTAGCTCGAAGCTCGAAGCTTGAAGCTCCAAGAACATCAATGCAACAGACGCCATATAATTCTCTTATAAGCTCGGGGCTGAAGATCAACCAGCACCAGCCCTCAACCTCCAGAATCCAGCCGAGTAAAAGTTTTAAAGTCGAGGGTATACCCGCGTAACCTATTCGCTCTCAGAGCAGTACCGTAAGTGTCATGGGTACCTCAAAAGTCATGACCTGTCCCTAGTCACCTAATACAGAAGGTTATAGTATACAATATACACAAGCAAAAGCAAAAATAGCTCTTCCCAAACCTCATCATCTATGCGTCGTCCTCAGGTAGCTCATCAATAACCCCTTCCACTATATCTATTAGCTCCTCGATATCCGGCCGTTCGCTCGGCTCAACCTTTAGACATTTCCTGACCACCTCTTTGATCGGTTCGCTAATCGCGCCCTCAGAGCCTGCACCAGCCGGGGCCTTTCCTTTCTTTTGGCCTCTTGGACTCTCATCCGGAAACCGCCAATCTCCTCCTAGCACACACATGCTAAGGCTACCACCCGTCTCATCGCTACGCATCTCGAAAGGCGATTTGCCAACTAAACATGCATACAAGGTACAGCCTAGTGACCAAATATCAACCTTGGTGTCAATGACCGTCCCTGTCTTCACATCGAAGAGTTCAGGCGCCCGATAAGGCATCGTGCTGTGCTCCGCGGCTATGTCCTGTTGAGCAATGGCGAGCGAGCGCGATGTGATGGGTATTGGTGATTCCGAGATAGAGCCCAGATCCATAATAATAGGTTGTGAGCCCGAGTCATCAATCATGATATTACCTTCGATGCTCAGTTAGTATAAATTTCGGTGCAAAGTTTGACTTTAACTGCGGTTTACCTGGCTTGATATCTCTATGCGCGTAACATCTCCGCTCACCAGGCGCTGCAACTTGTTCGTTTACCATCAAAGGCCTTGCCTGTTCTGTCTCATCGTCCACATCTGCTGCCGCGACGGCCTTGTTTCGTCTTCCCTTACCGCTTCTCCCCCCCTCTTCTTCGCCAGCTTTTGCATCGCCAGCCTCCATGCGCTCCCCACCTACTGGGCCTCGGTATTGATGCATGTACTTGAGAGCTTTGCATATGCCCAGGAAGAGGCGCATAAGTTCATGTTCGGGAAATTTGGTGTGATTTACTAAGTTCGCATTGATAATATCTTGTAGATTTCCTCGTCTATAATACGGCAATACTACGTATACCGTCTTTGCATCTGCATCGTTTCGTTCGTTTGCGATGGAATAGTCGACGCTGTGGATGATGTTGGGCGTGTGGGAGAATGTCTTGTAGGCTTCGACTTCTCGCATCGCTTGCTGGACTGATTCGGCGCCGAATGGACATCGGATCTTCTTGAGCGCGAAGAGCTCCGCAGTTGCCGTGTCTTGTACGAGATATACATAGCTAAAGCCTCCTTCTCCTAGCAAGCGTAGTATCTTAAACGAACGGCTATTAATCTTGAGGGTTGGCGATCCGGGGAAGCAATTTAAACAATTGCCGAACGAGTATACGAAGTCAAGGAGAAGCTGCGCCATGATGGGCGAGAATGGAAATGTATAGTTTTTGCGAGTGTATCAACCAGATTAGGCGGTTCTTTGCATAGATTTGCATAGACTCTACTGCGTTCGAGAGCTCGTTAATGTCCGTGTGATAGGTCCGTCGGAATTTCCTAACCCAATGGAACTAATAATAGTGGTGGGAAGAGAACAGGATAATTTCACTTTATAAGTAGATTGTCAAATATGTAATTAATGTTGAACTGTCTTCAGAGCTATCGTGAGATCTGTAAGACAACGGATCGGATAAGATGGTACGTAAAGTGTTGCCCACTCCGGAACTTGCGCGACGCTAAGTACCTAGAGGCTAGGTAGCCAGCTAGCATAAACGGCATAAGCTGCGCCACAAATAGAGGCTGAAACACCCATCAAGGGAACTCAAATATGAGGTACGTCGTACTTCGTACTTCGTACAAGACACGGACCAATCCGTACATCTGATAGCAATTGTCTGTATAGATGCATAGTGTCCACTAAATTTAGAGCTTCACTTCAATTGTGCAATAAACCGTACATATCGGAATTTTCAACTTAAGATCTTGAAGCTCAATCTAAAGTGAGCGAGAACTACGAACTACGAACTAACTTCCAATTAGGTAAACAAGTCTACTGAGGACCTGATCTAAGGAATAATCAAATATCAAATAAAACTATAAGAAGACTTTGTTGGGAGCGCATGGTAGTTATCAGTAATTGGATCGCATCAACTCACAACACCATGAATCTGCCGTACCAATATCTGAGCAGACTTGGACAAAGCTCCATCCTCTGCGCTGCCAAGGGATCCAGCATCCACACATTCGACCTCGAGGCCGGCAACTCGTTTCTCTCATCGTGGACTCATCCGCTCACAAAGCAAGCCAGGAGTGGCGAACCTCGGGAAACGGAAACTAGCCAGGAAGGTCAAGAACTCAATGAGCAAGAGAGTGGTCAGCGCCCATCGAAAAAGCGCAAGCTGAATGAAGAAAAGAAGCCCGGCGCTGAGGAGGGTACTAGTCAAGCTGACACGGGCGCAGTGGAAACGACGGCGAATGGAAGTGGGAAAAAGAAGCATAAGCCCGAATCTCGTGTTCAGGGGCCGGAAATACCCTTTGTGGCTCTCATGACAGCAACGGAAGATGGGAGGTATCTCGTCGCCGTGACTGGCCAAGATAAGACGCTTTGGGTATTCGAGCACGATAGGAAGGGCGTTCTGAAGGAAATAAGTCAAAGGTAGGATAATGGATAATCCTATCTACCTATTCTAGGAACCGAGTCTCACTAGATACAGAGTCATGCCCAAGCGTCCCAGCTCCATCGCCATCACCCCGGACGGGACTACAATCCTATCCGCAGACAAATTCGGGGACGTCTACTCACTCCCTCTCATCCCAACCGCCACACCCCCCGAGGCAACCAGCGCCCCCAGCACGCCCTCCAGCGTGCCCGTCTCAGCTCCGTCCTTCAAACCCGCAGCTAACCGGCTAACCGTGCACTCCCAGCGCAACCTGCGCGCCCTAGAAGAGCAAGAGCGCATCCTAGCCAGCCGCAAACGCGAGCCCGCCAAAGACGCCCCGGCGTCCAAGTACGAGCCGATCCTAGGCCACGTCTCCATGCTAACGGCCCTGGCCCTGGCCCTGGCAACCGCAGACGGCAAGCCCTACATCATCACAGCCGACCGCGACGAGCACATCCGCGTCTCGCGCGGCATCCCCCAGGCGCATATCGTCGAGAACTATTGCCTCGGCCACGAGGCTTTCCTCAGCGCCCTCTGCGTACCCGCCTCTCGCCCGGAAGTCCTGGTCTCCGGGGGCGGGGACGACGAGCTGTTCGTGTGGAACTGGAAGGCTGCCCAACTACTCGGCAAGACGGACCTCCTTCGCCATGTTAAGGAGGTAGTGCCTGGCGCGGAGCAAGTCGCCGTGTCGCAGTTGATTTCGTACGATGTAGACGAGAGATGCTTCGTGTTAGCGATTTGCGAACAGTAAGACCCTCTGCCCTCTACCCTCTCCCATTTTTTCATTATTTCATCATTATCCCCTCCCTCAGCCCATCATCCACGGAATCTAACACACCATAAACAGTGTCCCAGCAACCTTCATATTCGAAGTCCTACCAGACAATACTCTCAAACACGTACAGACATTACGTTTACAAGACAACCCCCTAAACGCTCTCATCGTCACCAGACCAGAAAGCTCTCCTAAATTAGTCATCGCAACTGATCCCCAGCAGCCAACTACTAGCGACAGCACGACACAAGCAGAGGAAGATACCCCTATGACAGAACCAAACCAGTCTCTCCTGCTCTTCGAGCGAGACCAGACAGGAGACTGGGCTCGGAAAGGGGGCATTCAAGATACCGCCGAGGGAAATCTAGACGTTTCGCGGAAGGAGTTGGAGACTATTCTGTATACGGTCGAACACCTGCGGAAGACTGAGTTTACCGACGAGGGTGAAGGGGGGCTTGGGGGGCTTGGGTCCCCCAAGGGCTCTGTTGCGCCCTAACTTTACTAGACCTGTACGTTAAATATTTACGACTTCTCTAGAGAAGTAGGAAATAATACAAAACAGTTAAGTCGTAACAAGTCACATCGCATAAGTTTGTAAGACACGTTAGCAAAGGTCGCAAAGGTCACAAACGCCGTTACGTCACTGTAGTTGGGACATAATTGTTTCCAATGAAATCAATACCAGTATTGCAATCATGTATAAAGCACGTCTGTCCTGGTTCCTCTCTCTATGTCCGTCGAACGCCAATCTCGCAAGAGCATCACGTGCGGAATGATGCTCGGTGTAATCGATGATATAAAAAAAAGGAGAGCTGCAGAGAAAAAAGTGAACCTTGCCCTCCTACCAGAATAGCGGACCCTTGTTCATATCATCCATATAGCAGACTCCTCTCCTTCCGCGCTTACCCCTGACATGCAAATCATTCGTGTCCTCAAACAATAGAAACGCTACGCCGTAAATAATCTCTCCCTCTCTAACCCAACCGGAAAGGAATCCCTGATGGTGTAGGAGTATAGGCAAATTATGCGAGGCACAGGCACGAAACACTGTGAAGTACCTACCCCACAGCCGAACTAATAATCTCCCCCGTTAGATATATCGTCTATTGGGATGCGCATTGCACGCGTTCGGCGTGAGGGTGACCGTCTTCGTCATCCTCATCCATGCCTCCTGCACCGCCACCAAATGCTCGGGCCTGTCCTTGGTTCTCCAAATCTTCTAGTTCCACGCTGTCCGTCATAGCGTCCGCAGGAGGAATATTCTGCAGAGTTGGAGCGGGAAGAATTTTGCGCAGACCTTCGAAGGCGGCAGGGTCATCTGTCCAGTGAGGTTCGGGGAACTTGACGGAGAATTGTATGTACATGTTGCCATAATCGTGATGCCTGTGGGAAGGCATACCCTGTCCTCTTAACATCTTGACAGCATCTGCAGGAATTGATTAGTGCCGGGTTCGGATGAAGAAAGTAAATAATATCAAGGATGTACATACCTGGTGCGATGGCCTCGCCGGGTTGGATTTCGACACTCAGCCATCTGTCGTCCAGATGTTCAATGTAAATCGTACCACCAGCTAGGGCTGTGACAAGCTCGATCTCGGCACGGTAGAGTAGATCGTCCTCCTTCCGAGTGAACCGGGGGTGTGGCTTCTGTTCAATCTCGAAGACGACATCTCCAGCCTGGACACCAGGGGCTTGGTCACCTTCACCCTTGAACTCGACTTTCGTGCCGCTTCTAACACCACGGTCGACGTGAACGTGAAGTACTTTCCTGTCGACGATGGTCTTCTTGCCATTGCATGACTTACAGCGATCCTTCTCCTTAATAATCTCGCCCTCTCCATTACAATCAGGACAGACAGTTTGGAAGCGTTGGATCATCGGACCCATTTGTCGCATCATGGTCTTCATACCGTGGCCATCACAGCCAGGGCAACGTCGAACAGCACCTTCCTTACCACCGCGACCCTCGCACTTGGGGCAAATGACGGACCGTTGTAAGGCTAGCTTAGAGATCTTACCCCGGTAAATGTCTTCCAGGGATACCTTGTGTGTATGGTGGATAGTACGCGCCTTAGGCGGACCACGGGGTCCGCCACCCATCCCACTGAACATGCCGCCAAGACCACCGCCGAATGAGCCTGAGCCGAAGAACTGTGCGAAGAGATCCTCGGCAGCCATGCCGCCGCCACCAGCACCTCCCTCGAGGCCGGCTTCACCATATTGGTCATAGATTTGACGCTTCTGGGGGTCGGATAGGATTTCGTAGGCGTGTGAGATCTCCTTGAACTTTTCCTCGGCCGCGGGGTTGTGGGCATTCTTATCTGTAAAGCTAGGATTAACATGCTAGATTCATAAGATGCTTGGTGCGTCTTAACTAAAACTTACCAGGGTGCCATTTCAAAGCTCCTGTCTTGTATGCCTTCTTTAATTCTGCCTCTGTTGCGGTTGGCGAGACCTGGACAAAGGAGATCAGCGCATGTTCTCTCAACGTCAATTATATATTGTGCACCAAAGAGCAAGACTTACGCCAAGCGCATCGTAGAACTTTGTCTCCTTGACCATATTGTCGTCCGAATTGTAGGTCAGACGGGAGAATTCTTGAGGGGAAGCTCCGCAAGTAGCAGATAAGCGTTCTAATTAGGTAGGATCTCAAGTATCAAATAATGTTAGTTCAAAATGCGACTTTACACTTTGGTTTGAGGATATTGAAAGGTCAAAAAGCAAGTCTTGTATTATTTGTAAAGATGTGAAGAGGTAAAAACAGTCAGATAGCGCCCCACAAATGCGCGAATCAGTTGGTTGCGAGTTTTTGAATAGAGGGGTGAGATATGATAGAGAGGAAATATCTAGGTGATTCGGAGTTGATAAGGACTAAGGACTAAGGACTAAGGACTTGAGGACTCACAAAGTACGAGAAACGAGAAACGAGAAACGAAAAAAAAGAAGCGGGAGTAAATGAGTTGATAGATAGATTGGTGAACGTCTTCGTGTATGGATTTGCTTCGGTAAGGATTGACAGGATTGACAGGTTATGGTGTACTTGCGGTGCACAAGATTGGTGGACTGGTGGACTGGTGGATTGCTCTGGATGTAGGTACCTGGGTCGGAGTTGCTGGAAGGTTCTGGTTGCGTTCCTGCTGAAAGTAGGCTGCCGCTCCGATTCGAGAAGGCTCTGTTTCCGTACCTAACCTAATGTCCTAAGGCAATGTCCTAAGGCAATGTCCTAATGTACTATAACCAACAAAATACCTGCTTTAGGTACTTAAAGTTACGTACACACGTACTTTATGGACGAGGATGGAAACAGAAGAGTAAAAGAGATGCAGCGATGGAAGATTGGGAGGTGACCACAAAATTCACTACCGATTAGCAAGCAACTTTAAAAGGATATTCTTTTTATCTCCATCTCTCCCCCTCTGCACAAGTCCCAACCGCAACTTTCGCGCAGTTCGAGGCTGAGATTTTTCCTTAGCGCGCCACCGTTTCTTCGTAGAATCCGATGGAATCGTGGCTTCGACTCAAAGTACTATCTAGTAGCATTGAGGCTGGAGCGATGCGAATTAGGTGAGATCTGTTATAACTCAGCCTCAAATATACTTTGGGCTACCTCATCTTGGACCCACCCCTTTGCTCTTTTCGGCATTCAATTTGGATTGTGCTGCATGCAATGTGAAGGGGGTTACACGGACTCCATAGCACTCAATGTTGTACTTATGTACTAGGGTTTCTCCAAGTTAGAATTCCCCAACTAAAATTGTTTTTGTAACCGGATTGATATGACATTCTATGAAGAATCTCAATACATAGGTAGCTAGGTAATTAGGTGATGTCAGAACTTAGGCTGACAAGGGCGGAACAGACCACAGGACCGACCTCGGCATCTTTGTGGTAGATTTCTCCAGAGCATCATCTTTCCATAGCCTTATTACCATTAGGCAGCTTAGGCTCTATATCCACCGAGGCCTAAGTGAATACTAATCAACATTGATTGGCCCTCCAAATAAGGCAATTCTCTTCACCCGCATCTGCCATCCGTACGTAGTGTCATAGTGTCATCAAAATTTATCGCTTCGATTCGACTTCGTCACGGTTCGAAGAGGTAAGACGAAAGTGTTGTCACCGTAGCTGTAACACTCGCCCTTGTAATTCCCTCGTCCGAGATAATCGTGCTATTGAGAAAATTAGCAGCCTTTTCGTCTAGTTATCGAATTATAGATCATAAGACTCAACCGTAACACGTAGGCTCTTTCGCAGAAAAAGAAAGGGGAAATAACTTGGCTGGCATCTGCATATCTATATCTATATCTATATTAGGTATACATATGTACTATTATGTGTGATAGGTCTGTTCCATTTTCACTAGTTAGAATGATTACACTATTCTCCTATGCGCATTTGACAGGATAGGTCAGACACCGAGAAGGCTCTGACGTATGCCGAGTAAATTTGTACTGCCTATTCAGTTCGACTTGCTTCATTGGTGGAAACGTAACGGGAAATACTCAAGTATGTAGTAAGATATCAAGTCTGTCTCCTAGCCCTACTAAACTTACGTGGTCCGCAACTGGGTCAGCTGAATCGATTATACATGGAGGTTGCCCACGATATTCCATTAAGCAGACAAGGCAGACAGGAGCAAATTCTCCTTACATCTAGATCGAAACCCATAAGCTTTCTGTTCGTACATAGTATACTCTTGTCCAATCATATAACTTCTAGTGTCGATTTAATATTTATTAAAGGCTAGCGTTTCCGCAAACTAACAGGGGAGGTATGTAAAAAGAACCGCTAACTACAGGTATAAAGTTACACAGTATTCGTAGACGTATGTATAAGATGCCCTAAGAAGTTTAGCTAATACTACTCATTCTCTTTAGAATTTGAATTTCCGCGATGCTCGAGTAAATAGAACAATTATAATTTAAATAGATGCGGCGCATGTCGTCATTTCAAAGAGGTTAGCCACTAGCAGTCGTGATGGATGGCGCACGGCAGGAATAGAATAGGGCTGCAAGCTGATGAATCCTAGCGGGTTTATGCGGGCGGGTTTAAGTGGGACAGTAAACCCTGACCGCCTGGAACTTATATTCCCGTCCTCAGCTCCCGTTGCACAAAGATTGGTCCGTTAAACAATAGACAAAGGCAACACCTAAACACTTGCTTCATTAGGTTAGCTACTGACTATATTTGCTAGATAATGTGTCATCCACTACCCAAGGTCGAAGCTCATGGGACTGCTATTTTATCACATGCACATGTGACAATAGTAACTATATTAGGTAATTAGAAGAATTTCTCTTTTAAACTAGGTACTGAAAGCGGTAAAGGTTTATTAGAAGCGTGTAAGTTTTGAACTAGTTACATACGCGTATAACCTTATCATTCGCTAAGGTTGAATGCTAATTTTAGTATGGTCTTTCTATTTATACTAGTTATCTATATCCCAATAGTCATCTAGTATCTAATAAATGTGTAATGAATGTTATCGTGAAGCTATTAGGAATATGAATTCCCTAAAGCGTTGCCGTTGTCGTTCAAGCTGAAAAGTTTCAGTAGAATTACCACGAGCCCTACAAGGCAGGACGCCGTGATGATCGATATTGCCCTTGACAGTATATAGTGAGCATTGTAAGGAAAGCCTGACCACATGAGACATTCCATACTAATCAATCACTAAAGATGTACATGATGCATAAGTAGGTGCTGAGGTGAGCGATGGCTACCGAATTAGGCTTCTCGAAAAAATGTATGCTTATGTTCTATTGGCGGGGACCCTGGAAACTAACCTGGGTTACATACATAGATACCTACATAGATAGTCAATGCTTGGTAACACGATGACTAAGGGTAGCCAATTATAGGGCTCGTAGTAGACCCTGACCCTTGAAGATCTCGGGGTATGTTCTATTTTCAGCCTCGCGTGTTGTCGAGCCATCTAAATTTCACCTAGGAAACGATGTGACTATGTATGTATGGGGGGGACTTTTTCGAGGTTAACCATTAACCAAACATATGGAAGCGTATGATATTCATTGGTTTCTTGCCAATCGGCTTACGCGATGGAGTCGCATCGGGCCAGCAAGATGACAGCAAGATTGCATTTACTGGTAGCGTTCTACATACCTAATGCTTGTCATGCCTTGGAAGTTGGTATTCATAAAATCCGAATTTTAGACAGCGGTCCACATCGAAGCTTTCGCCTCTAAGAAAAGGTACATAGTTACCCTAAAGAGAGAAGCCACTTAGCGGTGGAATCAAGACGGGTTTGGGAAATCGATATACTCTTACATTGGTACCGACTCAAAAAGATTAATCGTGATAGGGCTGTTCGTATCCCACGTCTACTTACCTAGCTAACAAGACATCTATCTCCTAACTCCATCTTATATAATGACTCTCTTCATTCCCGCATTTCCTTGCTTAGACATCAAAAAGAGTTTCCCGGAACTTCAATCTCAAAAGATCGACTTTGTTCAACATCCAAGTTATACCTTGCTGGCGCCATGGATAAGGCTAGCACGAATACAACTCTCGCTTCATCTACCCGAACAAAACAACCTAAGAAGAGAAATAGTGACGTGCGCAAAGAGCAGAATAGAATCGCGTCTCGTGCATATCGTAAGTTACCGTCGCCAGCTTCGTCGCAAAACATCTCGCTGACGCCAGGCTTCAGGAGAGAAGCGCAAGCAAAAGTTAGCACTACTTGACGAGATATTGAAATCTGATTCTCAAACAGATTCGATGAGTTCAGTATCCGATGAGACAGATGGATACAACGGCTCGTGGACCTTTCAAGATAGACAAGCCTCGGGTAGCCCTGTTCCAGGAGCACTTCAGGTGCCCGCCGTGGCGCAATGGGCCGCTGCAAGTCCCTCCATATCTTCGGCAGTCCCAAGCTACGGTCACGACGCGTATGAGGGTTGGATGAATTCATTCAATCAGCCGGACAATACGTTTCCTACCAATAATGAATATGCACACTCTTTCATCCCCACCGAAGTTGGAGATAATTCTCTAGGGAACCCAGTTCAATTTACCATACAATCTCTCACGTCGGCACCTTCGACGCCTTCACTGCCTCCTATTCCGCTGGATCCTTTGCTCGTTGCAAACAACTTCGCACCGCAACACCGTCATAACCAATTAGCACAACCCCGAAATATTCCAAGCTCATCTAACCCAATTTATAACAATGATGAAACTCAGAGACAATTATGGGTCGCCTCTCTCGAAGACGATGTGCTGGTGGAGCTTGAGAGATTTGCTGGATATAGCCATATCCAACAACAGCAAATTTTAGCCATGATACAGAAGAGAAGGAGTTTAGCACAGAATAGACCAAACCATCAAAATGTGGAATTCAGGTACCCAACCTGTCAAGCTACGCCCCCATCAACAGGTAAGCAATCCGTGCTACCTTCGTAACTTCATGGAAATGAGACATGGAAATGAGACCATATACTTACTTAATAACTAGCACAATTTGTGAACACCGACTTTCGGAAATACCAAAGCATGCGACAGGTCTCTGGATCACCTGTTCCTAGTGGCCGTCGCTAGATCCGTTTCATACGGACTAGGACCACTGACCCGACTACTGTAGTCGATGAAAACCCCAAGGCCTTCTAGATCGTGCCACCGAGATGTCTAGCATTGTCGGACTAAACAACCCTTTTCATCTATATCGCCTTCTAGGGCTTTGCCAAGTATATCAGATCTCGCCTTACCCTTATACCCACGTACGCCGACTCGCTTTTCACCAAATAAATAAACAGCACCGAAGAGAAACGGCCAGCAAATCGTCTTCAATGACAGACACGCTTTGGTCGCAACCCCCCAGGGGGCATATTTATATAACGAAAAGGCCAAATGGTGCAGATACGATTTATGGGACGTATATTTGGGCTATATCGAAAAATGAGCTGTTTCCTCGCAGAGGTACACTCTATACAGGAATGTCACCACCTGGTCGTGTGACATTACCAATAGACTTGGGGGCAACTCTAGATGTGTGACATGACTAGACACGGGCGTTGGGGCACTAAGGGGGGTAATGACTTTACATAGGTACAAGAGATGGATCGGGGCGAAGACAAGGACGAAAATGTGGTGTATAACCCAACTATCGCCCGGTCCGATCAAAACAAAAATACCGATCGCAGTACGTCGTCTCACGGGTCTTCTCGAAAATCAAGCAGACCATCACATTACAGCCGAGGCAGAGCCTTGGTATCACGGAGGAATACGACAAGATTCTGGGCAATCTATCAATATAGGTAGTTATACCATAAAGGAACATGTACTTTGAAAAGACACGATGTATAAATACCGCCTCCAAGGCCGTAGGGGGCAGCCCCATTATACGCAATTACGAATTTATTAAAGCTTATAGACGTTAAAGAAATATATGGGCGATTCCAGCATGTCTGGTAAACTACCCACTTAGTAGAATAGCATATGTAGAAACAAGAGATATGATAAACCCAAAAATCAACAGCGTAAAGCCGTCACAGGTTGGTCAACCAAATTCTCACCACTAAAGCCGCCTACGTATACTCAGAAGATTTAACATATTCCTAGCCGAATAATTAGGTACCTAGGTAGGTAGGTAGTTAATATAGAACAGACACATACCCCATAATAACTAAGAGCCGCAATATACCACGAAATACCCAATATAGTAATTCCCATCACTCATAAGCGGCAATCAAGTAGATCCGCCGAAAGGATCTCGAACAAGCTTTTTACCTACCATCCCGTTCTAGCTGTGTACGAAAAGAGAACGGACCGTTAGATATGTATATGCACTTAACATCCGACAGAATGGCTGACGTGCTTAAATCTATGCGAGGCTTGGCATAGCTCCCAGCTTTTTAAGATACGCGAAGGATTCTTATCTCAGGTGACCTCAGACCACAGATTCGAAATTGGTTCGGGAGGTTGTACCTCCCCAGCCACACCACTCCCCCAACCAATCAAACCCCGGAACAACCCCCCAAAACAATATCGAATCTGTGGTCTGAGGCAGCTCTGGGACCCCGCACACCAAAAACATACGCCTGATATTCTAAAAAAACAACATCAACAACATCATTAAAAATAATAGTATCAACGCGCTTTTACAGTAAGTTTAATTGATTATACAATCGTACTAATCTCATTATTAGGTCTATCGATTAAATCTACGCGTTTTAAGTCTCTCGGGGTGTTGAAAGTGGCCACAACAACGGTCGCAACGGTAGCCGCAACGCGTAACGATAGCCGCAACAAACGTTAAAGCCTGGTATATATAAGACCGTATAGGTATGCAGGAAAGGCTAAAGGGCTTGGGAAATGTATTAGCCTTAAGTTGTTAAAAAAAAGAGGGATTTTATACGTGGTTGTGGGATATTAAGTTGTTGTACCTAAGTATATAATATCTCAGAACGTCAGGGATTTTTAAACGTCGAGGCCTGGTATATAAGAACGCGATGCCGTACGGGTATATAAAAAAGATAGAGAGTTAAAGAAAGCATATTATTAGCCCCGAGTCATTAAAATTGAAGCTATTTCGTACGTTATTGTGGTATATTAAGTCATCGTAGACATAATGTCTGATTTTTTCATCACCAACGAGACCGTCAAGGACCCCTGCAGCGCTGTGCAGCCTCAGACCAGATATTTTCGAATGCTTTGCCCGTGACCCACAGGTACAAACACACGGACCACGCGTTGCGTGGCGCAAGCGGGCGCAGCCCGCTTCGAAAATATCTGGTCTGAGAACTGAGATAAAAGGATTCGCGTAATACGAGGTTTCATTGGGGACTCTGGCTCGTAAGCTTCGAGAATAACTCCAACACCTAATATTTTAGCCGATGGGTTATTTTTTGATTACTGAACAACTCGTTCGTAAACCGATCGAGTTGTAAACACTTAAATTTAACATTCATTGTATGTGCTATTAATAATATACCCCTAACCCATAGCACTAACCGCCACCTTATCTCTTCGCTGCGCGTTTCCGCATCTGCTTCTCCCTCTCGTACGCGTTGGCCTCCCTGCCTTCCTCGCCTTGGATCTCCGCCACCAGCCTCTTGTACTTCTTCTCGTACGCAGCATCCTTGGCCTTCTTGACCCTGAGTTGTTCGCGAGCCATGAAGTTGGCATCCTTCCGCAGCTCTCTCATGGCGCCCTTGCGCTCCTTCTTGTGTTCGGCCTTTAGCTTGGACAGCTCGGCCCTGTCGCGATCGGGGTCGTAGTGCTTGTTGGGATCGAACGAGTCTTCGAATTTGGGAATGGCTGATTTGATGGGGAGGGGTCGATGGTGATGGAGCTCTAAGGGCCGCCGTGCCATATGAGCTAGCCTAAGCATCCTATCTAGTTTGGATTGGAGTTTCTCAATCTGGTTATTTAGATCAGCTGGAAACTTGGCTTTGCACGACTTGCTACCCAGATGAGCGAGAACATTCTTGGCCGGCTCAAATGTTTCGAAGAAAGCGGACTTTCCACTGTAAAGATCTGCCGCCGCGTCTAATAGACCGAGAGTGGTGGCAAGTGTTGCAAGCTTGGTTGAGAGGGCCTCCTCATCGGAGATATCATCTTTGATACAGTCCGCGGGGGTTAGCTTCCTTACTGTGAGGGACTGAACACTAGTGATGCGAATTTCTGACATAGGATCATGAACTGGGAATTGTCCTAAAGTCCCTTCAGCTTTTTCTGGTGCCAAAGCGCATAGCGTATTGAGGCAGAAATTCATCGCCTCAGGCACATAGCGTTTTGCAACCTGCTGATACTGAAGAGCTAAGGTGGATAGATATACTCCTTGAACATAGTCCGTGATTTGTTTCGGAACTCTCTCAAGGTTTCGCGCGATAAGCAGCCCAGCTGGGGTCGCTACTTGATGGAAGTGATCCGATGTAGGAAAGGTGGTTGCGATCGCAGTCAGAATTACCAAGTCACCAAGATTCGGGGTAAGCGGCCGTGAGTGGCCAAAGTCTTCGAGCTGTGAGCGAAACTCATTTGCGGACTCAATTGGAAAAGACTTTGTGAGGGAGTGAATGTGTCGGATAAGGCTTTCGAGTATAGAAAATGGCGGCAGCTTCGCCTGGTTGGACGAATATGCCAAATACTGAACGAGGACCGCCACAAAGTTGGCAAGTTTTGGTTTATTGCCACTGTCCAATTTTGGGTGATACAATGCCCTGATCCTTTGCACGACTGTTGGTAGATGTTGTATAGAGATCCCCTGTGTCAAGTCGATAAACTCTTGCAGAGTCTGCGGGCAGGGAAAAGTGTAAGGTAGTCCATTTGAATCTTGTTTGGTGTCAGTTGGTACTGCAGAGCCCGTAAGTTGACCGCTAAACACCGGGTTTTGTGTTTCTTCGTCGTTCAGTAGCCCTTTCGTAAATTCATCATCGTCCTCCTCAGCATTTGAATCTTCGTCGGATGATGCATCGCTTTCGATGGGCTCCAGATCCGAGTCACTGGCTATTAAGTCCTCTTCAATTACGAAGTCGTCTTCATCATCGAATCCGAGTTCCGTCGCCGTTGGCTGAGTTCTTATCCCTTTCCCTAGCCCAAAGTCATCCTCCTCTGTTTCCGTGAATAAAATTGGGCCGTTTGTTGGTTGACCGTCTGACTGGTCATTATCGACGTCCTCCTCGTCCTCATCATCACTAACTTCTTCTCCACGCATCCTCTTGAGTCTCTTCTCTTCGAGCTCTCTAAGCTTCTTTGATTCTTCTTCAGCCCTTTCCTCGTCAGTTTTGGTCCGATCTGTCGGCTGTGCTCTCCTGTCTTGTGCTAATTGTCGGAGTCTCAAGTCGTAATCACGTTCCATCCTCTCCTTGCCGGCAGCAGCAGGTTCTCCTTCGTTGGCGATTGTGCTATCCGTCGCTTTTTTTCTGTTGAACAACAAATCATGAAGGGCTGGGAGCTCCATGTTGAGTTCTTCGCGTAGATCCTCGTCGGCGTCTTTGGCTGCCTGTCTTTCGGCCTTGTAGAACTTTGACTTCGCGATGACTTCCTTCATGACTTCTTGTTTTGACTTCTTCCTTTCCGGTTGCCCTTCTTCCCCGTCTTCATCCTGGGCTTCGCTATCGAAAGGCCGCATACGCTTCGAGCCACGATGCTCGTCGTCCGAAGTGGCTACGTCAGATCCGGCCGAGATGTCATCTTCCTCAAAGTCATCTACCAAACTAGGACCGTCGAACGATAATGACTTCCCAAAATGAGTTAAGCCCTCGCTAGGTTCGTTGTCTTCGAGGTCAAAAATGGAACTCTTATGAATCTGCTTCTCCCTCACGAATCTTTCTCGCATCTTCTCCTCGGGCGCCATATGCGGGTCGTTCTCTCCAAATCGTCGATCGAGTATACCTCCTACTTTATGGCGCCGGTTGAGTTCAACAAGAAGAGTTTGACGTCGCTATAGGTGGCTTGTTAATTGGGAAGATGCGCAACGTCTCGCTCAATATATAGACTCACCCTTTCCTCGCCGAGAGACTTTGCTTCGCTAGGCCTTCCCTTAGCAGCATTGCTAGCTGCTGGCCTATTCGTAGTAACTTGGAACTTGGGACCGCGGGCATTATGCTTTAGATCAAAGGGGTTGAACTCTTCTCGTATGCCCTCCAGCTCTGCTGCTTTTTGATATCTTCGGTTGTTATTTGCCTTTCCATCCTGTGCATTTTTCTTTTTCTGTTTTTTGGATAATTGAGGGCCAATGACGCCTTTCTCCCTCAAAGAGGCCTTTAGCCTTTTAAGCTGAGAACCCGCCATCGTAGAACTCGTGGGCGCAGATGACCGTACGCTGTGCTAGTGGGGGACCCGAGG